ACAAACACAAAGAGAGAAAGACACAGACAGAGGGGGAGGAGAACAGAAGGAGGGGGGAAAGAGACAGACGGTGGGGGGAAAAGAGAAAGAGAGAGACAGACCGGAGGGGGGGAAAGAGAGAGAGAGACAGACGGAGGGGGGGAGGAGAGAGAGAGACAGACGGAGGGGGAGAGAGAGACAGACGATAGGGGGGAGAGAGACAGACGGAGGGGGAGAGAGGGGTGTGTGTGTGTGTCTGTCTGTGTCTCCAAAAAACTAAGGTCGTATAGCAACTAAGCTTAGTTTAAAAAAAAAATTCGAACCAGTGAGACATGAATAACCCCGCTCTGGAACATATAATACTTTAGCAAGTCCTGCTTCATAGACATCAATGATTCTGAAATTCCAAAACGGTTTTTTATGTTTCGTTGAGGATATTTGTCTATTGAGGAAATAAATTTAGAAAATTAGTGTGAAAGTAGCAAATTTGTGTGGACCAGAAATGAGTGTATCCAAAGAACATTGCATGACACTAATGTGTTAAGCCTAGAACCTCTTTCTTTACTATAAGTACTTCAGAAAAATGCTTGTTACTGAATGAAAGCTAATACTAGCGCATCCCACTATTTTCAAATGCATCTTATTTGTATGACATCTAAATTGTAACATGATACATAATATAAACATCTTTATTTAGAATATCATGATTTGCAGATACAAGAGTTGTCAAAAACAAGTTGGCTTGGGGGGTGGGGGGCATTAGTAGAAGAGTTACAGATATAAACTTTCATAAAACTGTGTGAAAGATTAATTGGTGAAGCCATTTATATAACCAAGAGCTGTCTAGAAATAAAGAATGATAATATTTTTAGAAATCTTAATTTGTTTAACTGTTCGGCACATACTTCTTCTCAGGTTGTGAACTGATGTATCTTCTACTTTTGAGTTGGCAAATTCTAAACCACTTTTGTGGAATTGTAACTTTGGCTGAATACTTCTGGTTACACATTTGCTTCAGTGGCAAGTGATGGTTGATCTAGTGAACAAGTAACTTCTGAATTCTGCCACTTGAATCCATTTATTGTTAAAGATCAACTTCTATTTGTGCCTGTGTTTCTGAATTAATGTAATTCAAATTCCAAAAAAATCAGTTTGTATTATAATTATTGTATTTCTCTGAAAATGATAATTAATTATAATAATAGAACTCATAGCGAATTTTTTCCATTGACATAGATTTTTTACAGGAAAAGAAATGGGTCTAAAGAGTCTCATTTATGTAAACACAGAATTCTGATACTTTCTGCATATCAGGGTTGACAGTCTCTTTAGTTCATTTGCTTGCTTGCATGAAGATGCTCCTAGCACAAGCGTTTTACCCATGAACATGATCTGTACTTTCCTTATATACCCCATTATTGCTTCTGTTAAGCTACTTAAGTGTATAAAAGATTATATCTACCATAATTGTTGTTTTTAAAGTTGAATTTGCAGAATTTAATTTTTTTAGAATATTGCTTTGTAATATTCCAAAAATCAAGTTTGCAAATTTTTCGTCTTTAAACATCTCATAACAACATGAAATACTGGTAAAACACCCCAGAGATGAACATTTCATAAACCCTCGTCTCCCCCCAGTTATATAAATCTGATGAAATTTTGTATTAATTTTAATATTCATTTAGTTTGACATTAATAGGGGGGGGGGATACAAAACATAATAATTCAGTATTTTAATAACATTTTCATTCTGTAGCATTGGATATTTATAAAACTAGTAATGCGAAATATTGCTAGAATGTGCAGTTTTCATCAATGCTCAAATAAAATTGAATGTACTTTCTGATTGGCTTTATTTCATATTAAATGTTCATATTAAATAATCAATATATCTGCTCTTAAAAATAATATGCTTTGAAATTTTCATCAAAAACCAATAATAATGCACACACACCATCAAGGCGCATACCCTCTGTATACAGAATGAGTCATTTCAGATGGGAAAAAGTACAGTGATAAACCACCAGAACTTTGTGCACATGTCTGACTAAAGGCTCTGTCGAAGACTCTGGTAGTCATTAGTGCCTTTTGTAAATGAGTGCATTTTAATTCTGACGGCTAGCTGGTGGGCTAAGGTTCTGACTGCCTAAAATTAGGTATGATCACAGGACTGCGTTCTATACAATGCTGTTGTAATTTGCATCCCAGTTTTGTCACTTTACAAATTTGCATTTGTCTCCATTTGAATCTGAAAAAAGTAGACTTTTTCTCAGCAATCTTGAAAATATTTTTGGTTCTTTGACGTGCTAAAAGCATAACTTTCTGGGCCTTACAAGACAAAAGAAATCTTCAAGAAACTGCTTCGCAGAAATGTTTCTCAGCAAAATGGCATAGGAAACGTCTGTTCTTCTAATTGAGGAGAACGTAGTTTTGTGTGTTGATATTCTATTGAAAGATATTCATTTTGTAACATTTAAGAAACCCTTCAAGACCTTTCATAGAAAGGCCCTTTAGACCTGCATCAAACAGATATGACAAAAATTAGAAGATTGGAGATAATTGTTATGGTATGAAGGTGACAGTTGGCATGCATGTAACCTCCAACACACCGTCATGTTTTGATTCTTATTCTATAAACTTCAAAATTAAACCATTTTAGAAGTCATATTACATTTTTGGATGGAACCGCCACTTTGTAGAATGGGTTGACATAAATGTTGAAAATTATTTCATAGTATAAGTTATTTTCATTTTTTAATAATACAGAATGTTTAAATCGGCCCAAGTAATGTAATTGCTGTTTATGCACCGAGTGACACATCACAGTTTAAC